CAAAAGTGGAGTCTGGAACCACAGCCCCCTCACATTGCCTGTTACATCTGTTGATGCTTACAGAAGTGACATCTACTATGTAGACAGAAAATGCCAATTTCTTGGGAAAAACCAAAAAGCCAAACTCATTGCCTATGTAGACAGAAAATGCCAAATTTCTTGGGAAAAACCAAAAAGCTAAGCTCATCGCCATAGAGTCATTTCCGACTCACAGTGACCCCCATCGGGGCTCTGAGCTGTAAATCTTTACGGGAGTAGATCGCCCAGTCTTCCTTCTGTGAAACAGCTGGTGGGTTTGAACTGCTGACCTTCTGGTTAGCACACAAGTGCCCTATCTACTATGCTACCAGAGCTCCTTAATTTCTTAGGAAGGAACCCAGAATTTGGTGAGGCCTGGGGGAAAGAACAACAGCAACAAAAACCCTTCAAAATGGAAGATACATATGATTGTGTAGTGTTTGCAAATAAGGGAGAATGATTTTATTCCCAGAGTGTAGATTCTGTGTACAGACTAGTCTGGTTTCATATTGAGCCATAACCATTTACTAATAAAGTGATGGGTAATTTACTGAACTCAAGCCTCAGTTTCCCATCTGCAAAATACAGACGATAATAATTTTGTTGGGAAAACTTGGGAAAGACTTTGAAATTGCAAAGAATTACTGGAAGGAAATGCTGGGGTTTATCTATTGGATCTTTTGGAGTTACTGATTTTATAGTAATCTGTATCTTTGTCTGTCTTTGCCTATGTGGCTAAGTCAGCTATAGACATTTATGATAATTGTTATTTACAGATCCTATAGAAGAGATGGGAGCTCTGGTAGCATAGTGGCTAAGGCACTTGCCTGCTAACCAGAAGGCTGGCGGTTCAAACCCACCAGCCACTCCTTGGAAGGAAGGTTGGGCAATCCTACTTCCGTAGTGATACTGCCTCGGAAACCCAAGGAGGGGTCGCTATGAGTCGGGTTTGACTCGACGGCACATAACAACAACAACAACATAGAAGAGATAATTCCAAATATTGCATTTTAGTGCCCTACAGAAAATTCCCCAACTTGTCTGTCAGTATGTCGTGTAGCATGCATGTCGCTACGATGCTGGAACCCATGGCATTGGTATTTCAAATACCAGCAGAGTCACCCACAGTGGTTAGGTTTCACAGGAGCTTCCAGACTATGACAGACTACCTTCCTACGTAGGCCTAGTGATCTACTTCCAAAAATGAGCCAGTGGAAATCTTGTGGTTTGTAGCAAAATATTTTCCGATATAGTGCTGGATGATGACTCCCCTAAATTGGAAGGCACTACATAAGAGCCCTAACAATGGACTCACACAGCATTGGGCACTGTTTTGTTCTGTTATATATAAGGTTGCCATGAGTCAGAGCCAACTCAAGACAATAACAACAATAGAGGATATTAAGCAGTTTCTCTTGTCTGTTCTTCAGATTTTTATTTGAATGGTTGCAGAATCTTATCGGTTCCCTTCTCTAATAGGAGATCTGGTAGTGCAGTGCCTAAAGCACTTGACTGCTAACCAGAAGACTGGCGGTTCAAACCCACCAGCCACTCCTCAGAAGGAAGATGGGGCAATGTACTTCCTAGAGATACTGCCTCGAAACCCAAGGAGGGGTTGCTATGAGTTGGGTCCGACTCCACAGCACATAACAACCTCTAACTAATGATTCAAATAAAATTTTTGAGTATGAGGCATTGGTGGTTCTGTAGAATTCTTTCTATGTGGGAGATTTGAGTTCAGTTCCCAGCCAATGTGCCTCATGCACAGCTAGCACAGGTCTGTTAGTGGAAGCATGTGTGTTGCTATGACGTCGAATAGGTTTCAGTGTAACATCCAGACTAAGGCAAGTAGGAAGAAAGGCTTGGTGAGCTAGTTGCAAAAACTCAACCACTGAAAACTCTGTGCATGGGGTCCCCAGGAGTGAGGGCAACCGAGCAACTAACAACAAAAACAAATAGCTTTTTTTCATAGAGTTTTCAGGAGCGTTTAAGGGTCTACATTGCCGATTACAATCAGTTGTGTGTTTTGTCATAAGGTTCTAACACTTTATTTTGTGTGTGTGTGTGTAGGGGATGCTGAACATTTATAAAAGGGAGGGGGTGGGTGGGTTGAAAAACACATCTTACTACAATGAAGTCAAGAAGACCGTTTCTTTTTACCACTGTGGCCTTAAGGTTAAAGTTGGTAGGAGGCCGGACACAGAGGCCCAGTTGAAGGCCTGGGAGACCAAACTCGGCCTAGGTTTTCACTTTCCAGCCTGGATACTTATTGAGGGTTTTGGATGCCCTAGGGTCATGGAGTTAACAGCTGACTCCAGACAAACTGAGGTCCCGGCAGCAAGAAGTCCCCAGAGTCTACCAGCGCGGGAGAGTCGACAGGCCCCAGACCAGGCCTTGCCCCAGGCCCAAAAAGTCCCCTAGCCCGCGGCCAAGGGGGTGGGGCGGCCTCTTCTCGGGCCGCTCGGTGCTTTTTGCCCTCCATTGGCCGCCAGAGGCTCCCTCTCTCTCCCTCTCCTGGGATTTTGCTGCCGGGCTCCCTCTCTCTGCGGCCCTAGAGTTAATTCCATCAACCGAGGTGAGGCACCTGTTACCCCGGGCCTTCCTCACCCCCGAGGCCTCCCTCCATTACACCCCGGCCTCCCGGGCCGGCCAAACAGCCCGCTGCCGTGACCGCACGTGGGCGAAGCCCCTTCCCCGGCCGCACCCCACCACCCCCGGCCGACCCGAGTGTGCAAGCGCGTTGGTGCCCGGGCCACCGCCCGCCCGCAATGGCGTTGGGGAATGCAACGCGCCTCTCGGGGCCGCCTGCCGCGGGCCGGGCGCGCGTGGGGGCCGAAGCGCGACTGGAAACGGCCGCCGCAGCCGCCCTCCTCCCTGCGCCGTGAGGAGCCGGGTGGGTGGCGGGGCAGCGAGCGGGACTGCGCGCGGAGCCGAGCCGCGGCCACCGTGGGGTGGGGGGCGCCTCCAAGGAGGGGGTGGGAGCCGCGGCGGCCCGACCCTCCCCACCGGCGGCGGCTCCCGCTCGGGTAAGGGGGAGGCTGTGCACGGGCTAGGAGTTGGGGAGGGTGGAGATGAGGTGGAAAAAAATCCGGGATGTACAAAGGCTGAATTGCATTGCAGGGTGGGCTGTGGTTGGGAGCGATAGGTTGAAGATCGGAGGCTTATCAGTGGGATCTATTGTTTCCTGGCACATAGGGAGGAAAAACAAAGGGATTTATTATTACCCTGTAATTTTTTTTTTTTAAATGTGGCCAGGGAACTCGGCTCTCCCCGTGCCACACTGGGATCCGCCTGGCAGCCGCCGGGAGCCGCAGCCAATGTGTTAGGACTTCAGGTGCTTCTTGGCACAAAGCTAGACTGCGATCTCCTACCATAGAGCTTGGCGTCACCTGTTCTCCCAGCCCTTCCTTGGGGCCGAGGGATTGCGTCCTGAACCAGGCTGGGGAATCGGCTGCCTCTCAAGTTGGTGTTATTTATGTTTGTCTTTTGTGAGGGCAGGTTTTGAATCCCCCGGCGGCCTCCTCGCCCCCGCCCCCCGCCCCCTCGGGTTGGAATTGGCGGGGGAGGAAGTGTGTGTGTGTGTGTGTGTGTGTGTGTAGGGGGGAGGGGAGGGTGTTTATAGCTTAAAAAATGTCAGGGTAAAAGGAAATTGTCGATGCTTTAAAAACCAACCAGCCAACCAACCAACCAACCAACCAACCAACCAAACAGAAAAACCAAACAGCACACTCTGAAGCCCTTCTTGTTTGTCTGCATGGGCCATGCATGTGTGCTGGGCCAGGAGCAGAGTTGATAGAGGATTTCAGTGAAAGTGTGTGTTCCTGTGATGATTGTGCGTTAGGGTGATATGGCTTGGCCTCATAAAACAAACAACAACAACAAACCAAACGAATAAACTCAAACAACCACAACAACAAAACAAATTTAAAAATCTTTAGAATCTCTGTTGTCTGCTGCTTAGTAGTATATCTTGAAGTATTAGATTTCTGGCATATTAATGTGAAATGCAGCTGTGGGTTAGAAGAGACCAGCAAGCATGCATTGAATTTTGAGCTGTTAGTAAGTTAGAGACAAGAGGGAATAAACACATCAGAGCTATGAAGAGAGATTTCATGGTGTATTTGCTTTCTGGCTGTCACTTTCTCATGCATTTATCCCCATGATCATCTCTATTTCACTCCAAAACTTCCAATTATTTTCTATAACTGAAGTTACAGTGAACTTACTGCTATTTAAGAACTTTTTGTCTGCTTATTTTGGTCTGATATTGTACTAATGTTGCTTTGGAGATGTTATAGTTGAGAATATTGGACCAGAAAGCTTCCATAGGCATGTTTAAGAATTTGTAAACATAGCTTCCAAACTTTTAATTGTACTTAAACAGAACAAATTCTACCTAATTTTGGATAATCTTGAATGAAGTTGATTTTATGGACAGTTGCAAGGCTTCTTAAAAGATATATGCATTGCTGGTTTCCTTCAAGGACATTTACAAAAGATCAAGACTTGAGCTAAAGTACTACTTTCAAGGGTTTTATGGGTACCTTGTGTGTGTGGGTTTATTAGGGATCTCCAGATTGTGTTTGAAGCATTTGTGTTATTAAAGAGCAGTCAGTATTAAAACTTTTATTTTCTTAACTTTTAATTTTCCATTTCAAGAAGTAATTTGTTTAATACATAGCTAAGGCCTTTGAAAATTATTTATCAATGGACTAAACATACATTCAAATAAGTAAATTAATCCAGAAATTCATTCTTTCCTATTACAGATGAACCTCTAGTCTTGCTTTGAAAAAGCCATTTTGTGTAACTCTTGCCTGTGAATAATTTCCTAATACACCTGTTGGGAGGATCACTAATTGAGTATGCCATTGGACAGATACTTTTCCTTGACCAAATACTGATGATTAGAGAAGAGAGCGGTTTTATATTTTTTCTTTTTTGATCATTATGAACATTGGCTTTTCACTTTTGAAGTAAAAATGTTGAAAACTGAGTCTTCAGGTGAACGAACCACTCTCAGAAGTGCCTCTCCTCACAGGAATGCGTATAGAACTGAGTTCCAGGCATTGAAAAGCACCTTTGACAAACCCAAGTCAGATGGGGAACAAAAAACAAAAGAAGGCGAGGGCTCCCAGCAGAGCAGGGGCAGGAAATATGGCTCCAATGTCAACAGAATTAAAAACCTGTTTATGCAGATGGGTATGGAACCCAATGAGAATGCTGCAGTCATTGCCAAAACCAGGGGGAAAGGTAGACCTTCCTCTCCTCAAAGAAGAATGAAGCCCAAAGAATTTGTGGAGAAGACCGATGGCTCCGTTGTTAAGTTGGAGTCCTCTGTTTCAGAACGAATTAGTAGATTTGACACGATGTACGATGGCCCTTCATATTCTAAATTCACAGAAACTCGGAAGATGTTCGAGAGAAGTGTGCATGAATCAGGACAAAACAACCGCTATTCCCCAAAGAAAGAGGAGAAAGCTGCAGGGAGTGAACCCCAGGATGAATGGGGTGGGTCCAAGTCCAACAGAGGCAGTACTGATTCCTTGGACAGTCTTAGTTCCCGAACAGAGGCTGTCTCCCCAACTGTGAGTCAACTGAGTGCAGTATTTGAGAACTCTGATTCTCCCAGTGCCATCATTTCAGAGAAGGCTGAAAACAATGAAGAATACTCAGTGACTGGACATTACCCGCTGAATTTACCATCTACTGTTACAAATCTTGACACTTTTGGTCACCTTAAGGATTCTAATTCTTGGTCTCCTTCAAACAAGCAAGGTGCTGATGCAGAGGGTGCTCAGAAGAGCACTACAACCCCAGCACCAGAAGTGGCCTCAAAAGGCACTCTAGTTTCAATGCCTAGTGAAGGGGTGCAGCAGAGCAAGGAAGCCGAGCTCTCACTTTCTAACCAAGAGACTCCTGCCAGAATTGGTAAAGACCTTCCTGAAGAGCCTTGTGCTCAAAATAAGGCAACACCAGAGTCTGAGATCCCTTCACCACAAAATGAACCTTCAGAAGATGCTGAAGCTAATCTGGTTGGGAGTGAGGCAGCAAAGCAACAGAGAAAAGAACTTGGAGGTGGTGATTTCACTTGTGGTGATGCTTCTGGGTCCAGTTACGGGAAAGAAGTACCTGAAGATTTAAATAGTTTTGAGAGTTCCCATGTTTACATGCACAGTGACTATAATGTGTATAGGGTAAGATCCAGATATAATTCAGACTGGGGAGAGACAGGCACTGAACAGGATGAACAGGAAGATAGTGATGAAAACAATTACTATCAACCTGATACGGAATACTCAGAAATCGTTGGATTGCCAGAAGAAGATGACATCCCAGCAAATAGGAAAATTAAGTTTAGTAGTGATCCAATTAAGGTGAGTATGTTTTTTTTTTTTTTCAGTTTTTACCATTTGGGCCTAACTGTATGCGGAATAGATGTGACAGCTACTGCAAGTTTTTGTAAGGAAATCAGGGTTGTTCATGTACACGTTATAAGGTGATTTTAAAGGCTTAGAGTTTGAGAGATAGCCATCATATTAATATGCTTTGTAGTTGAACAAACCAATAAAAACTGAGAGTGATATAAAATTTGAAGAAGTTTGGTGATTGTGAAATAGATTCCAGTGGACTAGAACGTGAATAATACGAAGGCGGTGAGAACTGTGACTACTAGTTTGGAGAAGACTTGCTTCTTTAAATAGTTTTCCCTAAGAGTACCTGTAAATGATAAAAATTTCTGATGCTAAACACTGTAGGATACAAGGTAAAATGCACAGTGGGAGACTTATGGTAACCTTGAAATACTCTTTATTTACTTGCTTTGAAAGAAAACTGATATATCCCTTACTTAAGTATAAGTGGATTGTGAGGAATGTTAAAACTTTTTTTTTGTACTGCTACTTGGTGAAAAGTGAAAGTTTGATTTATGGAAAGGTATTTAGCTAGCTTAAATACTTAATTGAAAAGCTGTTACTTGTAAACAGCTTTGAGTTCAGAATTTGTTATGTAGGTTTAAAATGAAATTTTGTGAAAAGAAGTGAAATTGATTTGTCATTCATGATTTATTTTTACCTCTTAAAAACTGGGTAAATGCCAATTGAATTCAGACCCTCTATTCTAATGATTTCACCCAGTTAACATCTGGTATACTGGATAAGAGGAGCACAAAGCACATCAGCTGCGTGTTGTGGAACATTCTTAGCTGATAACGGCAGTGGGGGCGGGAGGTGGTTGGTTGAATATCAGAATCTTCTGGAGTGCTTTTATGAAGTATACTTGTCTACCAGCTCAGCCCTAAGATTCTGACATGCACTTCTAGCAGTACCTGGAACATGGTGGCAGTAGGATGTACAGTTTGAGACTACTTCCTAGGGACTTCTAGCTCAGGCAGTGTACATGTATGATAGATTTGCAATATGGTATCATTCCTTTTTCAGTTTTCCCCTTGAAATCTAAAACTATGTGCTCGTGTTACTTCCATCTTATGAAACTTGCACATGAGGCTGTAAGATACATAATTTATATGGAATTATTCAAAGACAAATCTGGTTTTGCTGTAATTGTCAATATACTATTTGAAATGAAGGAATAATTTATGAAATTATTTACAGGTGTTAGCCAGTAAACTTTAATTTCACTAGTGGAAGGCAAATGTTCTGGATGAGTGCGGGCCATGTCAGGTGAACTACCCTTAAAGTCAACTATAGATAGTCTAGTTTCAAAGTAAGCTAAATGTCTTTGTAGTACTTACCGCTTTCCTTTGCTGTTGTCTCCCTCTCCTTGTGCTGCCTACCTCTGCTCCCTCTGCTCCACTCTTGCCACTGTCTTCAGAGGTGCCTCTCTCTGCGGCCTATCCAGGAGCTCCTGGGAACCACCATTCCTCTGCCAGTGTTTCCCTGGAATGTTATCTTCTTACCCTTTAGGGAGACGAGTACACCTCTCAGGGATGAGTACACCTATCCACAGCTGGAGCATTGCCAGTTTGCCTGGTGATGAGCCATGAGTGTTTGCCTTTCTTTGGTAGAACACCTGTGGATGTAGAATAGGACCAAACCAAGTCCTAGGGAGAAGACAATGAGGCTTCACATTGAGTAAAGCAGGAATAACTGAAATGGACTCTTCAAGGGGTTTGTTAAACTTAGTGACTGACTCTCTAGTAGTAGGATAGCTTAAGAAAATCTATCAAGTAGGACACTTCTCATTCAACCAAATGAGATACTAGCCCTGTATTTGGATTCTGTGCTTCACTGTAATTTGTTTCGTGGATTTTAAAGCATTTATCATTGAAATATGTCCACTCACATGTGAATAAAACAGCTTTTGGGTATGATACTTTGAAGTGAAAATGATTTTGCTATTGTTACTTATAACAATAAGCATCTTGCCTCTTAATATTCAAGTATCAAAGACTGAAAATGGATTGTTGTTGTTGTTGTTATGTGCTGTCGAGTCGGCCCCGACTCATAGCGACCCCTCCTTGGGTTTCCGAGGCAGTATCACTACGGAAGTAGGATTTCCCAAAGTTTAACACATTTCATCAAGAACATAATAGATCAAACATAAAATTTGTGAAACAGATCCTTGTATTTTATTGGGCAGTTAATGGTACTAACTGGAGTGGATTGAATTTGCAAATAGAAGATGCATTATTTTTTAAGGAATAAGACAATTATTTTGTCTTGTTGGTTCCGTTGTTTAACATGGAAATGGATTTACCCGCAAATTTTTAGAGCTACTTTGCAGCGGTAGTGGTGGTGGTGGTGGTATTTAGATTGCTCTCCACCCTCCCTCACATGATGGTAATATTTAATTGAATTCAGTAAGTGTTTTTGAAGACTTGTCATGTGTTTCTTTTTGTTAGGGCTTTGAACAGGTTCTTTCTGGTTCGACTTCCTGCTGAGAATATGCATTTCTACCCATGTATAGGGAGCTCTGTAGCATCATGCCTAAGGCACTTGACTGCTGACCAGAAGACTGGTGGTTCAAACCCACCAGCCACTCCTTGGAAGGAAGGTTGGGTAGAGATACTGCCTCGGAAACCCAAGGAGGGGTTGCCGTGATTTGGGTCCCACTCGATGGCAAATAACAACCACACCCTAACCCTGTGTATACCGAATCAGAATCTACATTTTATCAAGATCCTCAAATGATTCTTATAAATCCCCAGGTGAATGCAAATTCTCAGCAGGGAATCAAATTGGAATGAACTGGTTTGAAGCCCTGGTTTCTATGCTGTAAGCTGCAGAAGGCTTAAAAATCTACAGGGGTCCCTTTCCTCTGTGAGCTAGTAGAGTTGATTCTTAAACACGTAGTATTTAGAAACCATATAACGCAGTGTAAGAATGGTTTCACAATGTCTGCTGCAGACATGTTTTCTGTGTCCTACGGGGACTTTAACATTACTTGGCTGTATTCAATGCATAGAGTGAAAGGAATTTGGTAGATTACCCGGAAGGGAATTCACTCAGCCATTCCCTATGTTTCAAAGCTTTATTTATGGAACAGGAAGTTGTGACTTCTAAACCTTCCTTTGAAATTGAAACGTAGTTCTTTCAGAGGTGATAAGGAACACATTCCCTACAGAAATGAACTTTAGAACTTTTACTTACCTTCTTTTCCTGCTGTTCTCATCTTATTCTCCACTAGGTTAAATATTCTCAATACCTGTAGTTTTTTGTTGTAGATCCTGTTTATCAACTCTGTGGTATTGTCCTTACTTTCTATTCTAGTTCTTCCATAGATTATTTAAATAGATGTTTCTCTACAATGTCTTAAATCTGGACCTAGAAAATCATCAAAATAAGGCTGATCTTTTCTATGTGGCATATTCTTTGTACTTAATTGATAGTTACTTTTTAAAATGGTAGGACTGTACTATTATCCAGCATTTAATATAGCGTCTGTATCTTTCCTTGATATAGTTGTTTCTTATATATAGGTTGTGTTTCACAGGGTCATGGAATAACAGAATGAATAAATATCAAGTCTAACTTCAAGATACAGGATAGTGGAGTGTTATGAACAATGCTAACTTGAGATATGGAAATATGCCTTCATTCTCAGGAATTTCTCAAAACTAATAGGTTGAATTAAAATAAATTTATCTTAGGTGAATCAAGAATAGAATGACATTTTAAATTACTCTTCTGTTAATTCAGAACATTTGTTGAGCCCCTACTATGTGTTGAAAAAAATGCAGATGTTAGAAATAAGTTCAATGACTGGAGCTGATCAATTCAGGAAATTCTAGTGGGGGGATGTGTGCCGCTTCATTAAGCAAGCGTCTCAGGCTGTTCCGCTCAACTTTGTTCTTTGGTGATCTTTGTAAGGTCATCACAGCCTCATTAAGGAAGTTATAACCCTTTCTATTTGTAGTAGCCTTATGTCCTTTAGATTGGTGTGCTTGAAACATAGTATATCTGAAAAAAGCAGATTTTCTTAACTCTCACCAAGAAAGAAATTGTAGGGTTAATGTTGAGGTTCATTGCCCAACGTTTTTTCTCTCAAACTGTATGGAGCTTTACAGAACTAGAGTGCTGCTCTGAACTTTATATGTTAGTTACTAAATATGGGTCCCTTGCTAGTCTCTCCCCCTTTGGGGCTCTAAGGTATTATTAGGGGTACATGGGCCTTTTCTGGGAGATGGTGTTCAAAACATAGTTCTTCTGAAGATGCAGATTTCGCTGTCTTTGTTGTTGTTGTTGTTATGTGCTGTCAAGTCAGACCCGAATCATAGCGACCCCTCCTTGGGTTTCCAAGGCAGTATCACTACTGAAGTAGATTGCCCAACCTTCCTTGAGGAGTGGCTGGTTGGTTTGAACCCAGCCTTCTGGTTAGCAGCTTCTTTTTCTAACCAGAGCTTCAAACTGGTTCATTCCAGTTTGACCCCTCTCAGCTTAGAATTTGCAGTTCCACTCCGAATACACTGAAAGAGAATCAACATTTTAATAAGATTCCCCAGCTGATTCTTATGTATTCAGAAAAATCTCTATACGAAGAATCTAGGAGAATTACCTGGAGATCTTGTTGAAATGTGGATTCTGATTCAGTATATCTGAAGTGGAAATGCGAATTCTCAACAGGGAGTTGAACTGAAAAGAACTGGTTCGAGGCCCTGAAAATAACTCTGATGCAATAGTGAATGTCTAAGTACACTACCCCAGGAAGTTATCCCAGAGGTAATGGATCAGTAACAGTTCACCTCCCAAATTAAAATGCTTTGATTACATGGTTTATTAAATCAATTTAAAATACATGATGAAAAGTAAGAGGAGAAAGCAAAGGGGTAAATTAACTCACTTAGGTGCAAGCAGCGTTGGAGTGGGTTACGCTGCCTGAGTCTTTGCTTTGCAACGTCTGTGTGTCCCGTCTCTCT